TAAGAGCGGATTCCAGTTAAAGGAAAACTTTCCAAGCAAAAGTGCTCAGATATTGCGGTTCTAATTACCATTGTGAGTGTTATCTTGGTAATTCTCGTAACTTTTAAGCAGAATTTAGGGCATAACGTTAGATTATTTTTGTTCTAATGACGTCTTACAGCGCTGAGACTTGCAAGATGCTAATAAAGCAATAGTGAAGTTATCTCTAAGTTACGATAAGGTTTGTAATAAGCTGCTGGTAATGTACAGGAAACGTTTCGCTTTAGCACGTTGAAATGCAGGATATTATAACATTAAAGTTGAAAATAAACTTCAATTATGTTTATAATTGGATTGATCTTCTTCATTAAAGCTCTTTTAAGCAATACTGTTGTCTATAAAAGCAGCAATTTGTAAAACAACGGTGTTGCAATATTCATAAGAGCAGGTGATGTCCACCGGGGCGGCGAAAGGAGGGCAAACCTCTATTGGAGAGCTCTACTCTACAGCACCTCCCCCCCCCCCCCATCATCTAAGATATTGCCTTTTAAGATGTATATATATTCTTCTTTGTGACTTCCTCTAATATGGAACTGCTAACTTTTTCTGCTCCCCAAACTAACTTTTTGCCCCGTTATGCCCCCATGTAAAAAAATCCTAGAAACGCTACTGCGCAAGTGAATGTTATTTGACGTTTTTGTATTCATTTCTAAAAGCCAGTAAAAAGCGTTTGTACCTGGTTATGCGCAGGAACAACCAAGCCATGCTTTTGCCAGATGTCTAATTTAGCTCGATGATCCAGTCTTCGCGTCCAACAATGTTATAAGGATGGTCAATGAACTGTCAACTCTTGCATCTATGCAAGACTATATTCATTTTACCAGGAACGCCCTTTATTGAAATAAAGTTTTTTCATCACGTCATCTCATCTTCAACGGTAACATGATATTTTAACCATACAGTAGATCTAAAAGTGAAATATATTTGTTTCTTCTTTAGATAAGAAATTAAACAGCATATAACTGTTGAGATCATTGCTACTAAAACATAACACAAACACAATACGGAAATATTCATGAATAAATAATTGGACATTTTGCCTAAGAGGGAAACTTTCTGCAGGAAGACTTTCTAATGCCCCCCAGTTGTACAGTGGTATGTCTGCGGACTTACAACGCTAGAATCCGGGTATCGATTACCCGTGGTGGGCAGAGCAAAGATAGCCCATTGTGTAGCTTTGTGCTTAATTACAAAACAAAACAAACAAACAAGACTTTCTAATTTACCAATTTTATGGCAACTCAACCCAGCTAAGTCAATTATAAAGAGAACAAACTAGGTTGTTTTTGAACTCCCTATGCCAAATTGTTAACCATTGTCTAAGGCCAATTCTTAATATTGATAGGTCAGTACACCAGAAGTTAACTCGAACCTAACGTACTCTTCAGTATTATATTATCACATAGTACATGTTGCCATAACTCTTTCTTCTTCTTCTTTTTTGTCTGGTTGATGCCTTTACAACCATCGGGTCATAACTAACAGCGAGGATCATTTAAACTTAGTTAAAGTGATTCAGAACCGTATATTGTTTTTATCATATTTTACTTATTTTAACTGGATATATCTGTACCTGAGGTTTTTTTTTTATTTCGCGCAAAGCTACACGAGGGCTATCTGCGCTAGCTGTCCCTAATTTAGCAACGAAATAAATAACTGGGCTACTCTTTTACCAACGAATAGTGGAATTGACCGTCACATTTTATAACGTCCCCACGGCTGAAAGGGTGAGCATGTTTGGTGGGACGGGGATTCGAACCCGCGGTCCTCAGATTGCGAGTCGATCGCCCTAACCACCTGGCCATGCCGGGCCGTACCTGAGGAATTGAAAGGCATTAGAAGTATAGTTGGCATATCTTCGCCACCTTACGGACCTATTACGCAAATATTTATTGTACTTTTGTACTTTCTCCCTACGTGCCATGAAGTTTAAAAGGTTACAATATACGCATTATATATTTTTTTTTGTATTTGAGTTACGCTTCAGTGATCCAGAGCGATATGTTAGAACAACTATACAATCATCGATTGTAGTTGGGAATTTGTCTTGTACTTTTGCTGTTAGAATACTGTTAGATGTAATGAGTTAATAGTGAAATGTTATAAATTATAATGTTTGTTTGTAATTACGCACAAAGCTACACAATGGGCTATCTGTGCTCTGTCCACCACGGGTATCGAAACCCGGATTCTAGCGTTGTAAAGCTCGCAGACATACCGCTGTGCCACTGGGGGGGATTATAATGAAACAACATTTTTTTCAGTACGAGAAAAAGGAAACCTAAAAAACTATGGTATGCGTCTCTGTTATCTTGCTAATCAACCATGCAGAGACCTCTTTTTTGAAGATTAGTGTGCTTGACAGAACTGTATATTTATGCAGTTTTATGTTTAAAACGCCAGGTTTTGTAACAACGATTATGTTAATGACGAAGTCTTACACCACTTTTGCAATCGTATTGCATTTCATGAAATCCTCTCAATTATACGACACCTGAAAATGAAAGCGTGCTTGATTTGTAATGAGTAACGATACGTATTTGAAGAGGTTTTTATCTTACTTTTGTGTTTTAAAGAATACGAAATTACACATGGTTTTATCAAATACTGGAGTATCAGTCGTAATAAACCCACTGTTGAGTGATGTGCAAGTAATCATGTACTCTTTAAAGTGACACATTTCTTAAACAATGATGTACCGATTAGGTTTTGGAGCTTCTTAAACTGATATTTGATTCCATTCTCACCAAAATAAAATAACTCCATATATATTATCGTTTTTAACTTTGCAGTCTTTCTAAACAGCATGCATTTTTTGTAGTAGTGTTTGTTTCTTTTTTTATGAAAAAGTAACTGTACTGTCTATTTTTTATGTAAAATTTGAAACTTAACTTTTCCTGCTTTGAATAGTTATGTACAACGTATTAACTCAATTTATGCAACAAGGATTTTGCATCACAATCCATAGCATTAAGAGTCGAAAAACTAACAGGTCTTGCCTAATGATATATATAAAGTTTCATTATGTTTTTCTATCCATAAAGCGCAGTTAATTAGATTTATTGCATAACTGGGAACTGCAGTTCCTAGATGGACATAATACCAAATATAATCCAATATGTTTCTTAACACACCCATAAGCATGTCAAACATTTGATAGAAATTGTATTATCTAAAATCTAATACCAATAATTTTATCGATTATAATATAATAAAAAAATTCATTTCTAGCTCAGAAAATCACATGTTTTACACGTTCAACATTCATTCTATTCAAACAACGAATGACCTTATAACTAAAGATCTTACTTCACAGTTATCTTTACCTTGTGAATTACTTTAGGGCACAGTTCAAACTGCAACTCTTGCGAACGTTGATTTTTGTCTGTTAACCGTTTTAAGATCATGTCAACTGTCCTAATAACGTTGTGTAGAAACATCTTCCCTTCTATAATTGGTGTCTCTAGTCGTAACCACAAATCATACATTACTAGCAATTCCTTATAATGGGAATTCACTTCACAATCTTTAAGTCCACACATCAGAGCAACAGTCTGAGAAGGTTTCAGTAGGTAAATAAACTGAAAGGATCTGGGGTTTTCCTCTATGAACTTCAAAAAAGCTTCAGACAGTATAACTAGAACCACCTTGGCTCTATCCAAACTCATGACACAATGGTCAGGAAGGGGGAACGATAGATATTCAACATCCAACAATTCTATTTTCAAAGATGGATCTAAACGTTGATGAAAACAGTCTGATAAATAATCACCCCAGTCTTCAATGTCATTACTTAATACGATGGTAATGTCTGGAAAATCCATTGTGGCTAAAATGAGGATAGAAAAAAAAACACTTGAATTACTGACATTCAGATATTATTTTCTTATATGGAACATAAAATGAGATATTAAATTATATTAAAAATATCAGTGTGATCGTTCAATTATTTAGGAGTAACTGTGAAAGCATTAAAAATGCTTTTACAAATATATAAAAAATATCGGATAAATTATTTTTTTAGGGCAGGGCTTGGCTTAGTGTGTCGAGTTAAATAAAAATCCGTAGTTCGCACCGTGGTGCAGCTGAACAGGATTCAACATTATAAGAGTGACAGTCAATTCCGTTATTCGATTTAAAGCCGAACGGACAAAATCCTTATGGCTGTTTGTGCTGCTCACTGGCCACTCATGTTTTTCGGTCAAAATTATCGGCTCCTATACGTGAATTATAGCCCAAAGTCTGACCATTTAGCTATTTTGCGCAGTAGGTGCCGTCCAAATTGAAAATACCTCTTTGCTTGTTGAAGGTTTCAGTAAGAGAGTCAAAAGGTTGCAGAAATGAGACAAAACGTTCGTGGTGAAATACCTCAGAGTTCCTTAGCATATTGATGAAATGCTCCAGTGATATTTAACATGTGGGTGAAATGCTCGAGAGCTACTATGAGTAACATATTATTCGATATTTTTACGCATTTAAACAGATGTTTTTATCTATTGTGAAACTTTTTCCTATCACTAAGCACGGTAATGCTTAATACGTAGGGATGGGCCACGAAACAAATGACCGACGCATATTATGTATTGCTCATCATAGTCTCAAAGTTTTCTTATAACAATGTAAGAGACTTTTATAAACACATAACATTGGTTTTCGAGATTTAGCCAAAAAAAACATTACGAAATTAGAGAACCGGCGAGTAGCTTAACAGCCAGAAGGGCCAGTTCACCAATGCTTAAAGTTGTTGCAATTATTTACACACCATAACCTATTGCCAATTACGTTTTTTTAAATGTTCAAATAGTTTAATAAATTCTGTGATTTCACTTATAAATTTCAAATTAACATTTGTAAAAATTGTCGCTCCTCTAGAAACCGTGCAGAACTTTTAATTTACATACATGACTAATAGCCTGGATATAGGCCTAATATAACTATAAAGCTTTCTGTGAATATTGAATATTAAACTGCTACGAACAACACGGCATTCGACGATAGGGAGGAATATTAATGAATAATACTTGTTTTCGAATGTTAAAATCAATTAGCTGAAAAATGTTTTAATTCTTCCAAGGTTGATTGTAAATTAATATCTAATTCAAAGACCGCTCATTACCGATTATCCTACTTAAATGCTCAGGGCTACTGTTTGAAAAATGTGTATTGAGAATGGAACGATGCGATATAGATAAGTGAGAATTCGTTAAATCAAGAGTTTGAAATTTGGCTTCTCCATAGTAATATGCGGTTCGTAAGTATTATAGTGAAATGGAATATGTATTTCAGGGGAAGTTCGGCGTTCTAAACAATAATATTTACTATACATAAAGGCTATTACGTTTGCGAAGCAATTAATTAACGAACCTTATAGTCCACCGTCTTTTACAATAAAAAAAACGTGAAAAATATTGTCAGTTAAGAAGGGAAAACCAATACTTAATTCAGCAACTTGTGTGAACAATAATTGAGAAGAAAACACATGTATTGGCTTTTTTGTGTATGTTGAAAGCATATTTGACGGATTGGAAAAACTAGGTTTAAAAGCCTCTTTAAATAATAAAAAAACTCAACATGAAACAATATTATTAAGTGAAATATACTTCGATGTTGCCCTCTAGTGGTACAGCGGTATGTCTGCGGACTTACAACGCTAGAATCCTGGTTTCGATACCAGTGGTGCATCGAAATGTAAACATTTAATGAGTTTGCATTCTGTTTTATTCTGAAGTGTGGTGTACCCTTCTTAAATAAACTACCAGCGAGTGATAAACGTTCTTCAACATTAGGTCATGATAGGAATTACTTGAAATATATTGCTTAAAGGAAAGTCATTGTAAAGGACCTGAAATTTGGTATTTATCATATTAGCAAGCTGCGAATAGAAATAGTTCTTGTCTGTAGGCACGGGGTAATTTGATAATTGTTATTTCAAGTGAAATTCCCTTTCCTCTTTCAAAGAATATTTAAATAATATGATTAGAGTAGTTTACGTTTGTAAAAAATGGAAATCCATGTTTTTTGACTAATTCCATTACACATTGACACATTTCAAAGCATCTTATGTAGGATGCGCGATGTTATTCTATATGATGCTAGATGAATGATTTTTGGGCTATACACGCATAAAGACGCCAACTTTAGAAGACTGGGAATTAGTTAGCAAAACGGATATAGCTGTGTTTCAAATTTATGTTTATTTAAATTATCGTTACACAGTTCAGGGGATCCAAAGACAAAGTAATATATCACAAAAGTGTCAACTACATACATAAAAGGCTCGGCATGGCCAGGTGGTTAAGGCACTCGATTCGCAATCTGAGGGTCGCGGGTTCGAATCCCCGTCACACCAAACATGCTCGCTCTTTCAGCCGTGGGGGTGTTATAATGTGACGGTCAATCCCACTATTCGTTGGTAAAAGAGTAGCCCAAGAGTTTGCGGTGGGTGGTGATGACTAGCTGCCTTCCCTCTAGTCTTACACTGCTAAATTAGGGACGGCTAGCGCAGATAGCCCTCGTGTAGCTTTGCGCGAAATTCAAAACAAACAAACAAACAAACAAACATACATAAAAAACGAGATTTTTTACGAGTAAATGGCGCAAGAGCTTTTTGTACTGTTTCCACGAAATATTAACAGACTCAAATTATTATCTTTATTGCAACAATACTTCTTTAAATACAGGATTTCTAGAATAATACAAAATAATTCTAATTCTAGTTAGGGATAAAATTTACTGTACTTAATACTAACAAAAAATAAACTTATAATGTTATTCTACAAGCAAACGTTAGACCTTTTAAAAGACTTTAAAAAGCTTTAATATGTGGATGTACAAAATATCTACCAAAGGTTGGTTTAGTTTTAGTTTGACCTTGGTAGGGATTTTGATATAAGCTTTTAAACCCCAAATGAATTTGAAGTTTAAGAGTAACCGAGGGCGTTCGAAAGCTCGTTTTCTTCGCCCTACTCAGAGCTTAGGAATTGAGAAGGGAAATTTCAAGAGAGAGAGAGAGAGAGAAGAAAAAAAAGGGATACGTGCCTGTACAGACATGTATGCATCCACACACATGGATCTGAATATGTTGGATAATAAGGGGAATGGGAGGAGGAGAAAAAATAAAAACAATATTTACCTGTTGGCTCAGTGAAATTGTGAAGCTGCAGCTCGAAGGTAAGCAAGGAAGAAGCCCAAAAAATAGGACCACAGACGACCAACCCTGTACAAGAATTATGCGGGATAATAGCGTCAACAACTTGTAATTCTGGCAATGCCAACGGTCGGTCTGGGTGAGGAACTATAGATTCAGTACCCCAAAAATTCCGATGTGGGAGGAAAACTGAAAAACCCCAAGAAAAAACCCACTTTCACTACCTGGACGCCGAAGAATCTACCTTGATAGTGCCAGATTTGTACGGCTCACCTGCTAATGAAATGATAAGATTAAAAGGAAACCCAGTGGGCGTGCCATGATTGAGGTGTTGCTGCTAACGTAGTTAATTGTTTTGATAATTAATCATGAGTGGTTGCTTTGGTGTAAAATTTCTTGGTTAGTTTGAGTATTCTATTTCTAATTGCCGGTAATTTGCTGATAGAGTCAAGATACGAGTTAGGTGTGTATGTGGGTTAACGGAGGGATATTTTTAGTGCTCTATTTTGGTGTACCTAAAGTTTCTACAATAAGTCATCTGAAATGTTACAGGTAATCATGCAGATATATTCCGCTAGAGGTCTAATATAGGCTCTATAAATAGTAGGTATTGTGTCGGGAGAACAATCTGCCTGGATTTTCCATTATCTTTCTTAAATGATTTAATCTTTAGCAGACATTTTTTATTAATGATTGGTCCAGATGAGACTTTGTTGTATGTGATGCCTAAAAATTTAGCATCTTAAGACTAAGGTATGTTTACATCCGCTTTTTATTTACATCTATTGAAATGAAGTGTGCGCGCATACGCATTTTCGGGACAGACAAAAACTGAGTATTATCATAATAAATAACAGAGCATTGCTTAATAGCGTTAGTGCAATGGGTTATAACTTGGTGTAAAATTGTATCATTTAATATAACATTAAGTAACATCTTTATAAAAAGTAATACTTAGTTCAAATTAATCCAATATTCAATTGCTGTTAACTTTTTGTTATTTATAGCATATCAGCAATACGTTGTGAAACATTTCAAACATGAAAGCATTTTTTTTGGTTAGTTGACTCAGTAAGCTTCCTCGATGCTTGTCTAGGTTCTAGTTTGAGTCTATGATAAAAATATTCATGGGTCTCTCAGTAACATTTCAGATTTATGTACCTCAGGTGGTTCAAATATGTCAGGAAGATTGCTCTGCGTGCTTATTCAGTTCAGATTATCTATATTAATAACTCTTTATATACAATAGTTATTGATGATATTTGCTTAATTCATTTTTGCAAGTTTTGAGTTGGATCATATATTTTATTCATTTATGTGCCCTTTGGTGGCGGTATGCTTCAGTCATGCAAAGTCTAAGTTTTGGGTTCGAGCCCTGTAGTTGGGAGAATACAGAAAGTCTATTTGATCTGGACGATAGCCCAGTGGAGAGCATACCTGAGCTACGAATCCATGAATTAATATTTCGCATCCCGTGTTGCAAAAAACACTGTTAATTCTAGTGTAATTTTCTAATTTGTGACTTAAACGCGTTTACATGCCGAAGGTTTTAAAGCTCAAACACGCATCTTGTATAATTATTCTTACTTTTAAGATCTGTAAAAAAACAATATATGAGTTGTTTTATCTTTATTTTTATCAAATAAAATCACTTATACTTTGTGCAAAAAAAATAGAGAAAT